GTGTGCAAACATGGTGTAAATGAATAATAGGCTGGAGGTGTAGCTCAAAGTAGAGTATTTGCCTGGTATGGATGAGGCCCAGTTTCAATCCGTAGCACGGAAAGGGGAGAAAAAGGCCAAGGTGCAACCCTGTCTAAAAGCGGTTCCCACTTGACTTGGTTAGAGATCAGTAATGATGAGGATTCTGCTTTGAATGAGAGTTATAGTGCTCCCTGAATTTAGAACTGGCTGGGCCCTTAAGTAAGAACCTCGTTTGAGGGATCAGGTGCCAGTCCAGGTTCAGACAGCCGTGTGATATCACAGCCAGTGCTGTTTCTATATTTTTTTTGTGGGGTGGGAGGGTACCGGAGATAGAACTCGGGACTTTGCACTTGCAAGACAGGCATGGCACCACTAAGCTAAATCCCCAGTCCTGCCAGTGCTGTTTCTAATTTGTCATAATATCAATATGAGACACAAGAAAATATAGCTGATCATTCTAACAACACAGAATTTCTGGATTTTTGTAAATGTCAAGCCAATTGATTTTTTTTTTCTGTTTTCATACATATATTTGTTACCAAGTAGCTGCCTTTGGAGGACTTCAGCCACTTCAGAGAGATGCTTCTAGTGCCAAGATGATAAGGTCTATCTTTCAAATCACTTCCTGCATTTTGACTCTCCAAAGGTTTTCAACGTCATGATGTTTACACCAAGGCAGTTCCAAAGCACAGGCATGTTTCAGAGGTCTGATTCTCTGTGACAGCCATTGCAGGAATTTAAAGAGGGTTTGCTTTTTCATTTAAACTTGAGATCCTTTGGATAGAATCTGGGGAATGCATGGGTGCACAGAGAAAGAATTATAAAGATGGGTAATCCTGTTCTGGATATTCTATCAAGGAGAGAAAAACAATGTTTTATTCCGAGAGGGAAGGGAAGTACAACAGCCTGCCATGTTCAAGCAGAATTTATAAAAAGTATTTTAAAATTCTTCTACACTGCCATCTCAATAGCTTATGTTATTTTTAAGTTCACTTAAGCTGTTAAGTAGGCCCAAGTGCAGAATGCATTTTACTTATTCGAAAGAACCACTTGATTTTATAGTATTTGTTAGTATGTGGGTCAGCAGTTTAATTTGTTTTGAGTTTTTGATTTGTACATTGTAAAAGAGGATCTGTCACAACAAAATTGCTAAGTATGTGGAGTGACGGATATGCTAAATCGCTTGACATAATCATTTCACAGTGTATACATCTGTCAAAACTTCATGTTGTATTCCATAAATATGTAAGATTTTTCCAACTCTTTAAATAAATTTGTAAAAATTAAAAGATCTGCTCATTCACTGGGAAAACTGAATGGTTACTGTGCTTTATTAAGGTTTAATTTTTCACACATACTTACTGAATTCCCACCGTGTGACAGGCTCCATCCTAACAGCTGGGATCTGACGATGAATAAGGTAGACAGAACGAGTCCCGGTTTCTGGAGACATCTCTCTCCTTCCAAGCGCTCCTCCCCTCACCTGCTCTACATTGATAGAATCTAACTTTGCATTGCCTGCTATAAGCCAAATTGTATAATGGTTAAATTATTGCATAGTGGCATATGGATGAAAGGCTAGTATCAAATCAGAGATTACATATTAGAGAATGAACGTGTGTATACTGTATATATTTTTCCTTATATTCTTGAATTTTGATTATACAATTTGGAGTTGAGAAATTTTCTAATAATTAAATTCAAATTCACTTTACTATATTTTCTTCTTCTTCATTGTCCAGAGAATAACCACACATAGGTATTCATTTCTCTTTTTTTTAATGACTTTTCAGAATTGCTGAGCATTTTGTTTTTTCCATTGAGTTTATTGGCACGTTTTAGGTATGCAGTATAGTTACATTCATCATTGGGAATGTGCACCTTTATTTTCCCCATTCCCCTGCCCTCCCTTCACCTCCTCCACCCCTCCCTATTTACAAAGACTTTGTTTCCATTTTTTCCTTTTCTCATGTTTTTTCCTTTCCTTTCCTTTCCCTTCTTTCCTAGGTATTCATTTCTTTCTTCCTTTACCAGTTCCTTTCTAAGTTTATTGCACTAACATGTTCCCCCACCACCGGCTCATCCTTGGAAGGGACTGAAATATTTCTCATGTGAATCTATTCATGTTCCCCCTCATTTTCAGGGGGAAAATATCTTGCCAGTTAGAGCCTCCAACAGAAAACTCTTGTTTCCATCACAAGTAGCTGTTTCATACCATTTCTCCTCTTTGTGGGCTAGGAGCGATTCTCCCTTTCCACTGAACCTCAGGAATGGTGTCTAGGTAAATGCCAAGCCAGAAAGCAAGAAATATTTAAATTCCACTCTCTGGGCAGTTTTTGTAATTGTTGAGAATGGTTTCTTGTTTAAGAAGTGTGGTCTGGTTTATTAAGCTTGCTTTTTCCTCCTGAAACCCACCATATTTTGGTTATTTATGCATGTTTTAAAGCATGTAAACAGCTGAAGCAGATGCAGTATTTTGCAGCGGTCTTTCCAGAGAGCACTTGGAAGCATATTCAGCTGTGAGCAGAGCCTCTGGGTTGCCGAGGTTGAGGCTTAGAACTTCATGTGCCTCATTCAGATGCTAGCTCCAGATCTCCAGCTGCCGCCAGCAGTTGAGACTAATTGCTACTGGATTTGCAAGCTTACAAAAATATTGGTGGTGTTTGTTTGTTTTTTTGAGACAGGGTCTCACTATGCAATTTAGGTTGGCCTTAAACTTAGTATGTAGCCCAGGTTGGCCTCGAATTGGCAGGATCCTCCTGCCTCAACCTTCCAAGTACTGAGATTGCAGGCATGCACCGCCACACCTGGCTTCAATGTTATTTTAACTTTTAAACTTTCGTGAACTCTTTCAGTAATATAGAAAATCAAATAAATAGAGCCCCCTGTTTCACCACCCAGATTTAACAGATATTAAGGTTTAGGGCAACATAAACATTTGTAAGCTAGAAGTTGGAGCTGGTGGGAATCAAGCACAAGGCAGAATGATACAGGGAAGAAATTGGAATTAGGCACCCTAATATGACAAGAAACTAAAAGAGATAGAAAAACTTCAAATAGACTCAGGGCCTCTAAAACCACAATTGTCTGGGTCTATTTGGGTCAGAAGCAAGCATGTCTCCTGCTTTAGAAACTCCCAAGGGCTTCCTCTTATAGGGTGATAATTGGTGTTTTCATGATGACCCCAGATCATTAATGGAAGACTAAATATGCCCAATTTGTGCTACTGCTGAAGAAGAAAAACTAGTGTACAGCCAATCTGAAAAACAATGGTACTTGGGAGGCTGAGGCAGGAGGATTACTTTCACCCAGAGTTTTGAGACTAGCCTGGGTAGCATAGCAAAAGCCTATCTCAAAACAAAACGCTCCCCCCACCAAAAGCCACAAAAAACCACATTTGAGTACATGTAAAAGGTTTAAAAATCAAGTTTTGACACTCAAAGAGGGAAAATTTCAGTATTACGCAACTGTTTTAAAGCAAACTTTTTAGAACAACATGGAGAAAAGTACTAGATCATGTGAGGTGCTTTCATAACATGGACACACCTGGGTACCCAGGGAAAGAAACAACATTCCCAGCACCCCAGGGGCCTCTAGTCAGCCTGTCAAGGCCTTTCAGTTATGATGACTACTCCTGACTTTTAACATCAGAGGTTGGTTTTTACTTTGGTAGTTTGGGTATAATATGACCCAGGCCAGAGAGGAAAAAGTTGTACGGTTTATTGTTCACAGTTTCATCTTCAAGCAAACACATCTCAAGTACTTACTTTTTGTATGCAGCTGTTCAAGTTCACTCACCTAAGAGTTCTTTCTTCAGGTGTTGGTTGACACAGTGGCGATGATGACGATAGTAACATATATATATAT